CAGCTCTGCCCCCACTCCTCCCCAAGCCTGTCGCGGTGCTGGGGGTTGTTGTGGCCAAAGCACAGAACCCAGCACTTGGCCTGGGTGAACCTCGTGCAGTTGGTCCTGGCATTCTTTATCCCCAGTTTTACAGACTCTGCCAGAATCAAGCCAGGCTCTGTCCTTCCCCTCACCAAGTCTGGTAAGTGTCCTGCAGAACAAATAAGGTCCCTGTAAAACACGGCTGGAAGCACCAGTGTCCTTGAGGGGTTCCCACAGCCACAAGCAGCCAGGAAAAATAATGACACCCACCTGAAGGGGTGAAATCCATCTCATTCCATTTAGGCTCTAGTGCAACCTCAGCCAAGTTAATAGGGAGGAAAAAGCAGAATTGCTTGTCCAAGAGAACAACCCCTCCAAATTCTTACTGAGAACAGCAGATTGAGACACATTGACAAAGGGAGGGAGTCAATCTGCAAAGTAGTATTTTTAGGGAATTGCTTTGCAGAACACCATCACATCCCAGAGCCACCTCACGGGGGAATGCCCAACAGCCATGGTGAACTTTTCCTGCTAGCCTCTTCAGGGCTAGAGAACAGGGATTTTCCATGGTAGCTTCCGACCCTTCAGTGAAGAAGCCAATGGAAAACCACCACAGTTCTCAAATTAACCTGTTAAAACATTGGTGATCTCAGCTTCCTCCCACTACAGCAAATAACTCCATTTGGTGGAAAGACCAAGTCACATTACACTGAGAGCAAAGGCTGCCTGGCTCTTCACCATTGCTGCTCCTTGGAGAGTGTGCTCCCTGAGGGGAGGGCTGGAAATCAACTTTCTCCCTCATCAATCATCAAGAGAACAACTCCAAAAAAACCGCAAACCATCTCATTCTGTTTAGCAGCATCACCACTATGGAAGATGTTTAATTTGTGAATAGATCATACCCAGTTCAGACCAGAAACACCCATTGTTCCAATTAGAGAGGCAGCACAGCCGATACGGCCCTGAGACTGAACAGCCTGAATTTGACAGGGTTAGATCCTCAATGAGCTGTAGTGGGACATTTTTCCCTGAGCCTGAGCATTCAGATTCTCCTCTTACAGAAGTGGCTGTAGGAGTGATGGGGGTACACTCTGGACTCTGCCCATCACCCACAGAATCACCTCAAAGCAGCAGCTGTCTGGCTCAATATGTCACAGTTCCCTTTAAAAGTAAAAAGTTTTGTTGTGGGTTTCATTTTTTTTTTATTTTTTTTTTAACTCATACCAAAAGCTGCATTTTCAGCAGTTAATAGCAGGTCCTTGCACCAGTGACTTGTGAGGCAGCAGGGACACCAAGAAGTCAGAAATTGCAACTAAAATCCAGTAGTTTCAAGAAAGAGCTCAAGCACAGGGTATATTTACAAATCAACTGAGAGGAGGATTAATCAGTAGTTTTTCAATCAGTAGTTTTAAATTGCCTTTATGGAAAAAAATCAGATAGACCATAACTATTTTGAAGTTAAAGAACTAAGAAATGTGTAACCACATTTAGATTAAGGCTTATGAATATGGCTTCACAAGACAACATCCCACTGCAGAAGGGCCAATACCTTTAAGTAGCTGCTTGGTCAGCTTAAGTCAGCTTTGACATTCAGTGACTGTGAGCAAGAGAAGACTCTGCTCCAGTTCCTATTTGTCTACTACAAGTTCTCAAAGAAAACTTAAGGAATTTGCCCTTAATACAGGCAAATCTACAAAAAAAAATTAAGCCTACCACACACCACCGAGGAAAATCCCACCCGCTTTGAAATGAATTTACATTCAAAAAGGCACAAGATGGAGCAAGTTTCGTTTTCCTTCAGGGCCTTTCCCTCCCCTCACCCTCAGAAAACAGTAGTGATGCAGCAGCACAGCTGCAGTTCTGGGACTTGCCTGAAACAGTTTGCCAGGGAAATTTGTAGCTTAGTTTCCTTTCAGATTTGTTTACCAAGAGCCATCTCATAAGGGCTTCACCTCTCCTGCAGCCTTTTATTGCAGTTAGCACTACTGTGACTGAGTCCCTCTCCCTTTTTGGTTCTGAGAAGCATGAAATGCAAGGGATGAGTCAGAAGACGGTCACCACAGGCTTCTTAAGAACTTGAACTTACACGTGAAATATAAAACAAGGCTTCCTACAGAATCAAGACACCTTTACTTACCAGTTCTTTCCAGCTAGCTGCAAAGCATCATTCTAAACTGCCTGTTTCACTGCCAGCCCCACTGGGTCACCCGTTAACTGAAGCCTTCAGTAGCCTGGAGGCATCACCTGGCTACTCACACTGCAAATACTTCATCTAAGGTGCAGCAAAACTCCATATATGCTGGTAATTTTTACCTTTGTTTTCAGATTAGTTAACAGGACAGACACAGGGAAGTGCCTAAACCTAAACTTTTTCCCACCTCTAAAACAGACTTTATAAACTCATGTGCAGTCCACTCTTCATCACTTGCTTTAGCCACCTTTCTTCCCCACGCCTTCTGTTAGTATTCAGTTACACAATTAATGCTAAACACAATGAAGTAGAAGGTACATCCCACAGCATTGAGCCTAAAGCTCAACATAGTCTGCATTTGAAGGTAAGCAAGAACATACTTCCAGCAGAGATTAAGGTCAGAAACAGCATCTATTTTATCCTCCTGATATAATGAAGACTTAAGAATATCAGCTATGATGTTTTTAAGTGCTTTATATTTATTATAAAGTATTAATAATTGAGTGTATGGAAAATGATTCTCTATACTAGAGAATAAAATGACAGCTTTTAAAAGTTATGCCATACAGTACAGGAAACGCTGCACATTTTTTCAGCTGCTTGAAACAGTATTTGCTATACAAGTGAAAAGGGGTAGACTTAGAAGTTTATTATTTACAATACAGTGTGTTAGAAAGCACAAACAAGTAACATTCAAAAATAAACAAGCTCCCAAAAAATCTAAAGAAATCTTTAGATGACATGTACACAGATTATACTCAAGTTTCAATATACAAGTTATTGTTCCCTACAAGATGCTCTCTACTGGATTGCTGATGAAAATGGAAGGTTTAAGAAAAGCACCTCCCAAGCCACATAAGCATTGCATGGGCACAACAGCCATTTCCTGAAGTGCTCTCCACAGTCTTTGGCTCTGCTATTTCTTACAGCCATATACTGTGGCAACACAAGAAGAGAGCTGGGCTCCAATTCCAGGTATGGTCAATGACAATCCAGTTATCTGGGGAGCTGCAAGAGCAATTCAAGGCACTCTTCCCAGTGCTGCAGCCCGCAGAACCCCCTTGTGCAGGACACAGCATTTTAAGAGACAACCAGGCTAGGCTAAAGCATGTTCTTGAAGGACATGGAATGAACAGTTCAAGATAAATTCCTGCAGAATGTCCAGTTCAAAGTTCAGTCATACTTCACAGGCACACCAGTTGGAGAAACATTCATGTGTACGCAGATAACACGTTAAAGCACACCGCTTCAACGTGTGTAGTTGCTTTATGGTTAAGTGGTGTAACATGTCAGCAGCTTTGAAGATAGTGTTCATGGGGCATGTTGAGCCTGATCTCACAGTAAGATTTTAAGCCTACTTCACAATTTAACAGTTGTCTCCTTTGCTTTTCCTTCTCATTAAGAGGCAGCATCTACAATGAATCATCTTTTACAACTGTTCCACTTACAACATAAACCATAATGCCAACACCCCTCTAGAAAATGTACTCACAGTAACACTGTTCACTCTGATGCATGTGGTATTGACACTTAATTGTAAGCTTCTCCCATAATATAAAATATCTTCTAGATCAAAAAGATTTAAAGATATTGCACTGTTGTATTTTACTTTTGCCTCCCAACCTCATCCCAAGTATTTACGAAACTGTAAACAAGTCATTTTTATACAGTCTTCAGTCCTGTACACCTGCGTTCCAAGGAACCGGAATTCAGTGACACCTTTGTTAGAGATACAGTAGCCTAAGCACAGTGTAAATTCTGTCCAGCTGCCCTCTTCGTACAGTAACCAACAGGCCACTCCTCCCACATTCACACCTTCAGCTTCCTCTTCTGATCAAAGTACGCATCAAATCTGGACAACGCATATTCCTGGAGAAATAGAGACATTCAGTACTCAACACAGTAAAGACAGCAGAGTTTTTTCTTCTTTAGGATGGGGAAGAATAACGAAGGTATTAACTGTGTTACCTTCCTAATCCATCATCTCAATCCATTAATTAGCTCTACGTGGAAGGATAATCCCTCCAGAGGTGTTCTGGCCTCTTAAAATTTCCTCCAATCTTATTTCAAACTCTAACACTACTAGCTGCTGCCAACATGTCAGCTAACAGGAACCGAAAAGGTCAGGATTTCACTAAAAAGGATGGCTTCTGCAGCACTTCCTGCAGGACATTCAGCGTACCTGGCAGTTACATCACTAACCATGTAGCAGGAGTTAGACTGATCCGTTTCTCAAGTACAATCTACCTGGCACTGATATTGTCACACACTGAATAGCAACACGGTGTTACACGTGCACTTTGACTACTCAGTTTCCAAGTTCACTCACTGCATGCTAGCTTCCCTCTTGCACAGAATCTCTTCTTGCAGAAGAATGAGACATTGCAAGGCCTGACACATAAGGCTACAGTCTCACTATGTAACAACATAAGAATGGGAGGAATTCCTAAAGTTTTTACGATCTTAGATATTCTTTACATTCCTAAGGAAAGAGTAGTAACAAATTGATTTTTAAATTTTACTCCACTTAGAAAATACTAGTTGCTATGTGAGGCAATTTAATTTACTTTCTGACAATGTACCCTAGGTTATTTAGAGTATACAATTTCAGTTACACCAAACTATGATTAAGTAACTTACCAGGTAACCAAACTCAATGGATGAGATCTTTGCTTGTATAATAGACCACAGACCCCAGAAGAAGTGTGATGCAAGGGCAAACCTGAAATGACATGGCTATGTTTATTGAAATACCCAGCTCAGTGTCACCACTTTATTTCAATAACCTGTTAGAATAGTATTCCCTAGTTTGGGGACATCCACACCTTTTCTTCAAGTATGACATTATAAAAATAGTTCCATTAGCTTCGCCATGGAGTAGTATTTTGTTCACTCCACCAGTAGTGTATACCACATATCTACAGGTTAACAATGGACAGATTTTTCTTTGACATCTAAACAGCTTAGAATCTCTCTTGGCTGAAGTTTCTCCACCCAGCGAGGTATACTAGCATAGGTATGGCAGTGGAAGTGTCAAGATACACTTGTGAAAGACGAGTTACCTGTTAACTTCTATCAACACTTCCTCTTCTAGTTTGGACTTCTCCTCATTGCTCAGATTTTCAAAGCCATCATGGAATGCAGACAGGTAACTGGAGATAAAATGAAGCTGGAAGGCAAGTAAACAGAGTTACAACTCTTTGTCTCAAGACATATTTGCCTCTTTCAGAACTCAGCAGGCCTTTTAATAAGTTCCCATTTACTTTTTCCAAACATTGATAAGTGCTGGCCTTAGCTTTAAGATTAATGGTGGTTCTACTAATTGCTTGGAAGTCTAGTTTAAGAAAAGTTGTAGTACTAGGACAACAGATGACATTTTGCTACTGCCAACTAATTTCACAGCTGCAGTCCACAACTACTGGACTTTCTGTGGTGGACAGCTACATGGCATGTAGTAAATATTCTATCCTGAATAGCTGTTATGAAGTTTGTATGATTTTTAAAGCAAAGGTAGTCAGGATTCCAGAAAGTGTTATATTTAAGGAAGTCATGGAGGAAAGGTTTTGGGACAGACTAAAGTCCAAAACAGAAGTGGAAAAGAGAGTGAATATTTGAAGACTGTGGACACTGGTGTTTCACTGATTATAGTTTATGTGCCTACCTGTTGCTTCTTTGAAGGATATTTAAGAACACTAGCTTTGAAGAATGGGTACTTCTCATATGTGTAATCATACATCCATTCACAGAAGTGATTTCCAATGTCAAATCCTCTGAAAAACAGATAAAGATCAAGTACCTCAATATTTGCATACAGCAATCTGGTTTTGCTTAAGCAAACCTAAAATTAAGTTTAAAAGCACAAGGCTACTTAGAACTTACTGCAGTTTTGCTAAAGGAGGTAGGGAATTGATAACTAGAATACAACTTTTTTGCAAGTGAAACAGTTAAGGATGAAAACTACCAGCTACACGAAAATACTAGACTTTGCTACCAAGTTTTATACCAATGGAGACAGTTAGAATACTCGAGTATGTACTACATCTCAGCACCAAGTCAGATGCATCTCTGAAGTTAGCATAATTGCAGGCAAAGAGGTCATACTCACAGTATTTGACATATCCTGCTTTTACATTACTAGAATTCAGGGTTACAGTATGTCTCAGCTATGCTAATGTTTAATGATCCAAATGACTCCACACACTTAAATAATCCCTGAACACAGGTACTAGATGACTGAGGTAAGAACAGAAAGCGTTTGGAGTAACCATGTAGCGAAAAACCCAGGATTATTTTAATCCACAGATGAAAAAGCCATTTGAAAGGAAAAAATGCAAAAGTAAACCTGCCCTACATACACATACACTCTACCATTCTCCTCATCTCCCCACAAGAAAGAAATTTTGACAGGCAAGCAAGAAGCCATTGGGGCATAAACAAGCCCTCTAATCTGGACAACCAAGGAGCTCCAAAAACTTTGACTGTGCTGTTCACCTGTACCCACCATCAGGACCAGAGCTGTTTTGACTAGTTATATTTGCTGTCCACCACTAAGAGCAGAACACAATTCACTAGAACAGACAATCAGCAGTGCAGCACTTGCT